AAATCTAAAAAAAAATTCCCAACTTAAAAAAAAAAGATTTTATTTATTTATTCATGAGAGACACAGAAGAGAGGTAGGCAGAGACACAGGCAGAAGGAGAAGTAGGCTCCATGCAGGGAGCCTGTCGTGGAACGCAATCCTGGAGATGGGACTCGATCCTGCGTCTCCAGGATCACGCCTGGGCTGAAGGTGGCACTAAACCTCTGAGCCACCCGGGCTGCCCCAAGAAAATGCATTTCTTATAAGGCGATCATTCTTTTGATATTTCTTGCAGAAGACATAATTTATGAGCTATAAGTTGTATTAGGGGCTTTGAGCAAGTACGAGAGAAAGCCAGAAGCCACCTGTTGAAGATATGGCTAAAATGGTTATATTTAGTATATATTTGATGTACCACCAACAATCTCAGAGTGGAGAGGAATGGAATCCTCTATTGAGGACATACACATTCATTCCATAAGGACTTAATCATTGATCTCCGTGAAATAAGAACATATTATTCACAATGAGGGCAATGATAAACTTCAAGTTTTAAAACAATGTATCCCATAAAATGTTCATCATGAGTATTACTTCTTGATGGAGACAATTTACCTCTGAAACAAATAATTTTAAAAATCAATTTGACAGTTATTATATTAACCTTTGGGTAGAAAATGTAAATATGTATATTATTTTGTTCTAAATATGTATATTAGTTATCTACTGCTATGATAGCATCACCAGACTTAAAACAACAACTATTATCTCTCGTGAGATTCAGCTGATGCTGCCCAGGTTTGCTTTAGTAGGTACAACTTGTCTGTTCTCCATGTTCTTGTCTGAACCTTTAGAGGCTGGCTGGTTTCTTCCTCTGTAGATATAAGGTTCAGAGAATAGAACTGTTTGAGGCCTCTCAGGCACACGCTGAAAACCCTGGGTGGCTCAGCGTTTAGCACCTGCCTTTGGCAGGGTCTGATCCTGGAGTCCCAGGATCGAGTCCTGCGTCAGGCTCCCTGCATGGAGCCGGCTTCTCCCTCTGCTTGTTTCTCCCTCTGCCTCTCTCTCTCTCTCTATCATGAATTAAACAAACAAACAAACAAACAAACAAACAAAAAAACTAGAACAATATGGCTTCCAGTGGATTCTTTTGGTCAAAGCAATTCACAGGGTCAGCTGACATTCATAGGTGGGTAAACAGATTCTACCTCTTGATGAGTGGAGGTAGAATTCCAATGTAAAAAATTACATTGTGAAGATAGACATATAAGGAAGCTATAATTGGCCATCAATGCAAACAACTTACCACAGGGTGCTTCTAATACATTTATATTAATAGTATTTTAGTTGATATTTAACTTGAGGTGGAACTTTTTTAAAATTAGTTATCTCTTTTCATATTTTGGACTTCGATAAAAAGGGCAGCTCTCAATATACCTCTTATTTAAATAAAACTATGGACGATTGTAATGAGTTCAAGGATCTTGGGGCTAACCAGGGAAAAGATGGCTATGAGGTTGCAGTAGCACATAGCAAGCTATATTTGGGCTTTACATGGACAGATTTGCATGAGAGGGGTTGTCCTTCAGAGCAGAAGATCTTCCAGAGATAATGACATAGAAATACTACCCAGAAGGGGAAGAGGGAAAAGGAACTCCCACAGGAGAGGGGGGTCAAAGAGAGGGCTTACCTATCTGGGTAATGTCACTCAGCAGCAAGATGGGGAGTCTCTGGGTTGGAGAGTTCTGAAGAGCGGCAGTGGATTGAGGTCTTTTACAGCCCGAAGGTTTATCTTATCTATGGGTAGCAGGTGTTGGTTGCAGTTTTGTGTGATATGCAAAGCAGGCAGGTTCTAAAAGGCTGAAAATATAGTCTTTGGGGGCAATATAAAAAAGAATTGGATGTCTAAGAATTTTGAGTTTGGATCCAGCAGACTTTTAAGCTAATGGTGCTAGCCTGATGTAAGAAGTAAACAACATTATACAAGAGTCATCTTTGGTTTATTTATAGAACTATGTTAAACATATTTTACCATTTCTAGCATCCCTCCTTTTAGATAGCGAAGAAGAAAATCTTTGGTATGGTCTTGCAGTCATCTGGGACACCCAAGAGATAGGTTAAAATACATCATAATAGTTTGTGATTTGAACTTTGGGAAAACAATATTGGAAAGAATTCTTAGAAGAGCCAAAGTATGAGCAAAAGTCATAGATGCCTTTAGAGTACAAAAAAAATGCAACACAGCTACAGCAACATTAAATATTAGAAATACCAGATTTTGCAAAAGTATATCAGAAAGAACAAAAAATAATTATAATAAAGGGAATATTTTGTGATATAAATAGCTTTTGTTTTCTAGGCAAACTATATTGAAGGCACTAAATGATTTTTTGTTAAATAAAGAGCAGAGTATGGATTCAAAACTCAGGATGTCAATGTAACAGAAAGTAAATCAAATGCTAATCTTTTCTTTTCATATAGAACTTAAATAACATTTTGTAGACAAGGATTCACAATCATTCTCTACTTTATGATTGAGCTCATCAAAATTGACTTAACTTGTTCAAAATTTGATATATTTTATAACTTCTTTTTAAATCTATTATTTGTACATATAAATCATTTTACATCAAGCCCTCTATAAATTATTCTTCAGCCTCAAGTTTCCCTTTCCATTATTTTTAGCGTTCCAGTTATTTAGAAGCATACTATTGATCAAAGTCCGTATGTCTAAGGCCTAAGATAACATTTTTTTTCTTTTTAAGTTGATAAAAACAGACAAAACATATCCATCATTTTATAAATGTTTGCAATTCTTCATAATTCTTTTACTTAATATAGTTCTAATCACTCATATTAACTATAGCTTTTAATCAAAATATAATTTCAATTCTCTCTCATTCTCTCCTTTTCACTCATACACTTTTCACTTTTCACACACTTTGACTAAGAACTCTGTGACATTCAAGGCAACTTAAAAGACCAGCAGAGCTCTTGTGCTTCAACAATACATATCACACATCACTTTACAGTCATATACATCCCTTTAAGATTTATTTCTCTTTTCTTGTTAGAGTAAAGAACTTAGGGTATAAACTTGGCTCACTTGGGTATTTCAATAACACTTTTCTTGGGATGCCTTGGTGGCTCAGCAGTTGGGCATCTGCCTTCGACTCAGGGCGTGTCCTGGGACCAGGATCTAATCTCACATCGGGCTCCTTGGAGGGAGCGTGCTCCTCCCTGTGTCCATGTCCTGCCTCTCTCTGTGTCTCTCATGAGTAAATAAATAAAGTCTTAAAAAAAACCCAAAAACTTCTCTTATTTCTTCTGAGAGAAAGAAGTCAGGAACTTAGAATTCTTTAGATTTCACTGCAGGTCTTGAAATTCTGGACAGCCAGAAGTAATCATTAACATTTTATCTATATTACCAGTTTATCTCCTCTATCAAGGCCCATTCATAAAAATTGATATATTAATGAAACAAAAATGTTCTTAGAAGGCAGAGCTCTCTTCTAAGCTATACAAAATCAATGTTAATTTAAACAAACTGAAAAATTTGCTTCATTTTCTTTATCTTTTCTGGATAGCTTTGTCTAAATGGGGTATTTCTCCAGAACACAAAATGATATAGTTTTGACTCATTAATATAAACAAGTTTTCTCGGGGATCCCTGGGTGGCTCAGTGGTTTTGCGCCTGCCTTCGGCCCAGGGCGTGATCCTGGAGTCCCAGGATCGAGTCCCACGTTGGGCTCCTTGCATGGAGCCTGCTTCTCCCTCTGCCTGTGTCTCTGCCTCTCTCTCTCTCTCTCTCTCTGTGTGTGTCTCCCATGAATGAATAAATTAAATCTTAAAAAAAAAAGTAAAAAAGTTTTCTCAAGAAATGGAATGAAAGAACCAGTCACAGATACAAAAGAGCTGTAGTAACGAGAACACTATACAGAGCTAACTTTTTTTCTCTTGCAAGGAGAGTAAGAATTTTTTTTTTTCATTTACACGCACAAGCATGAAAAGAATGAACAGCCTTAGTTCTACATCTTTAGCCATAGGTCAAAAGTAAATATGGAACACAGTTTTCTGTGCCTGAGCAAATTTCACTGATCAGTTGTGGCTACTTGGGAGTAGGAAGAGCATCAAAAAAGATCTCTAAGAAATACTTGTTATAAATATCTCTTGATGTGGAGCTGATCTTCATTCTAGTGGGAACAAAACCGTCTTTTAAATATTTTTAGCTATACTGGTGTTCAAACAACATAAAATATAAGGCAATATCATAAGCTTCAAGGCTCATAATAAAGACAAATGAAAAAGACTGAGCTGGGATTCCCTGTCATCCACCATCTACCACCCAACAGAGACTAGATGTGTGGGTGAAATAATTAAAATTAGACTCCCAACATTTTAGTCACTAAGGGAAGAAAAATAATGCCCATCGTAAAAAGTAGAACAGGATTTCTCAAGAACCAGCCCGATGTCAGGGCTTGTCATGATTTCCATCATGGTCGCTTACTTCTGTAATCCTGTAGTCCGTGACTTCAGCAAAACACTATCATGCCTTTTGATTGAGAGTGTTTGGAGAATAAAATCACTTTTCAGATGATTGGTAAACAGAGTATCAGTGCCAAATAATTTTGAAGTAGTCTTTAGTTTAAAGTAGCTTCTGGGATAGTAAAGTTATTCTGACTAACTTGTTCTGTCATATGAAAATATTTTGTTCCTTAAATATTTTATATTACTCTTTTAAATAGTTACGGATAAGCTTTAAAAAATTTGCTTTCTTTTGGATTTCCTTTCTTCAGAAGTTTCATTATATATATGTCATATTAATTCTGACATGTTCAAACTTCTTTGGAAAATCCTATTGACATGTTCAGGTGATGTATACATGAAACCTATATACAAATTATAATACATTTCCTATTTTAATACATTTAGCATTAAAATGAATTTAAGAGTTTTAAGAAGTGGTTATTTTTCTTATTAACTATAATAAGGAAGTTTTATATTTTATATTTTATTTTTAGGATAAAGTCTATTCTAAGTAAAAGTGGGAAGCTTGACAATAAAGTTAAAAGAATTGGGCCACACATAGAAATCTTCCAAGTGTTCCGGGAAAGGACCAAATTTGTAAATATCAAAAAAGTCGTTAAAATGGTCATCCTAATGCAGGCCTATGTCAGAGGATGGCTTGAACGCAAAAGATTCCAGAGAATAATGGTCAAGGTAAAGCATGTGTTGAATATAATGTATATAAATTTTCTTATGTAGATTTTAAGCAAATAGAGTTTTGAATAGTTGCCTGATTAATATATCTATGGTTTTTCTAAATAAAGTTCTGACTACATTCTTTGCATCGAGAAAATGCTATGAATTATCTATTCTGCTGATAGTTTCAGATTTTGTCAAACTAGAGAATCTGAACAAAAGGCCTGGTTTAATCCTTAACTCAGTAGTTCTGGGACCGTTTTTATTCTAAGGCTGGCACCGCCTATTCTTTGCATTAATTTTGTTTCACCGTTTTGTTATCTGTTCATTGTCTGTATAAAACAACTTTGCTCCACTTCCCACACTCCTGGATACTCTTTATAGTGTAAACACTTAACTCGAAAAGAGCTCTAGACACACCCACACACCTGAGCAACTTTCATAAGCAGCAATCTTGACTTTCAAAATAACTATCTAGGATCTATTTTGTCTGGCAACCATTAGTTTATTCTTTGTATCTATGAATATGTTTATGCTTTGTTTTTTTGGTTCATTTGTTTTGTTGTAGATTCCACATATAAGTGAAATCATGCAATATTTTTGTCTTTCTCTGCCTAACTTATTTCAGATAGCATAATACCCTCTGGATTCATCCATGTTGTTGAAAATGGCAAGATCGCATTCCTTCTAATGGCTGAATAATATTCCATTGTAGTAGTATGTATGTATGTATGTATGTATCTATCTATCTATCTATCACTATCTATCAATCTATCATCTATCCATCATCTATGTATCAATCACATCTTTATCCACTTATCTATTGATGGATGTTTAGGTGGCTTCTATATTTTGACTATTGTAAATGATGCTGCATTGAACATAGAGATGCACAGATATTTGAATTAGTGTTGTAGTTTTCTTCAAAAAATTCCACAAGTGGAATTGTTGGATTGTAGGGTAGTTCTGTTTTTAATTTTTTGAGGACTATCCATACTATTTTCTAAAGCAGCTGTGCCAATTTACATTCTTACCAGTAATGCATAAGGGTTCCCTTTTCTCCACATCCTCATTAATATTTGTTATTCCTTATCTTTTTGATAGTAGCCATTCTGACAGGTGTGAGGTGATACCTCATTATGGCTTTGATTTGCTTTTCCCTGATGGTTAGTAAAGTTGAGCATCTTTTCATGTACCTATTAGCCATCTGTATGTCTTTGGGAAAACATTTATTCAAATATATTCTGCCCAAATTTTAATTGGATTTTTTTTGAAATTGAGTTGTATGAGTCCTTTATGTATTTTGAATGTTAACCCTTATCTGATATGTCATTTGCAAATAATTTCTCCTATTCATTTCTCCTTTTTCATTTTGTTGATGGTTTCCTTTGCTGTGCAAAAGCTTTTTAATTGGAGGTAGTCCCATTTGTTTATTTTTCTCCTGTTGTCATTGCCTGAGGAGACAGATCTAAAAAAGTACTGCTAAAACCAATGCTCAAGAGCTTACTACCTGTGCTTTCTTCTAGTTTTATGTCTTCAGATCTTATGTAAGCCTTTAATACATTTTGAGTTTATGTATTGAGTTTTGAGTTTGTTTATGTTGTAAGAAAGTGAATCACTTTCATTCTTTTCTGCATGTAGCTGTCCAGTTTTAACAATTAATTTATTGAAGAGACTGTCTTTTCCTCATTTTATATTCTTACCTCCATTTTAATAGATTGTTTGACTTTATAAGTGTGGGATTATTTCTGGGCTGTCTATTCTATTCCATTGATCTATATGTCCGTTTTGATCTCTACAGTTTTGTAGCATAGTTTGAAATCCTGAAGCATGATACCTCCAGCTTTGTTCTTCTTTCACAAGATTGTTTTGGTTATTTCAAGTTGTTTGGTTCCGTAGAAATTTTAGGATTATTTGTTCTAGTCCTGTGAAAAATGCTATGGCTATTTTGATAGGGACTACAATGAATTTGTAGATTGGCTAGTATGGCCATCTTAACAATATTATCCTTCTAATCTATGAGCATAATATGTTTTTACATTTATTCATGTCATCTTCAATTTCTTTCATCAGTGTCTGATAGTTTTCAAAGTACAGTTCTTTCATTTCCTTGGTTAAATTTATTTCTAGGTATTTTATTCTTTTGGATGCTCTTGTAAATAGGATTGTTTTCTTAATTACCTTTCTGATATCTTGTTATTACTATAAAGAAACATAGCCTATTTCTTTATATTGATTTTTTAGCTTACAACTTTACTGAATTCATTTGTTAAATCTAATAGTATTTGGGTGGAGTACTTTGTGTGTGTGTGTGTGTGTGTGTGTGTGTGTGCCTGCTTACTTTAACAAGAGAGTGGGAGAATGTCATGGTCACTTGCACTTGCTGGTCCCAGCCAAGGAGTAGAGCAATACTTCAACCATTCATGCTCACAGGCTTTAGCAAAGGACTAGGAGAATGTTGTGACTGCTCACATTCATGGGCCCCAGCCAGTGCCACCATCATCCAGCCCCACCAGCCTTAGCAAGGCATCAGGATGGCACTAAATCTGCACATACCTTCCTGTGCTAGCTGGGTCAGGGAAGAATGCAAAAGGGGCATCTTCCAGTGTCTCCATCTCTGACGAGAGTCCCACCTGTCCCCTGCCCCTTCAGCGCATGCTGTAAGATTAGCAAAGGAATCTCCTTCACATATAGTATAAGTGCTTTTCAAGTGGCTGCCTTTGTGCTGGGTCCTGGGATGAGTGAGACTGTAAGCAAGCCTTTTAGAAGGAGAATTTCTTTTCCCTACAGCCCTTGGTGTCCCTTGAATGTAGGCCCTGTTGGTTTTCCTACTCATTTTGATATGATCCTTTTATCTCTTGTTGTAGTGGAACAGTTCTAGTTTTCTTTTTCAGAGAGAATTTGTCCGTATGTAGCTGTAGTTTTGGTGTGTTTGAGGGAAGAGGTGAGTTCAAGATCTTCCTATGTTACCATCTCAGACCATCCCCTATACTACCTATATTGATGAACTATCCTACCATCCATTGTCCAAGCTATACCTGGAGTTTCCTTAGACTCTTTTAACTTCCTCACTTCCATATTCAATTTATTATCACCAATACATTTCTTGTGTTGCTCTTCCTCTCTTTGTTTCTTGTCACAACTTCTACTTATCAACCCTCACATGGAGAACTACAGTTGTCTCCTAATTATTGTCCTTGCTACATACCTTCTAATCTGTCACATCCAATTAAGGAAATTGCACTCTGATTACCTTATTCCATTTCTCATAATCTTTTAGTGGCCCTATTTGCCTGTAGGAGAAGGTATGAATTCTCTAAGATATACATATGACCTCCCTGGTCTGGCACTTGCCCACTGTTCATCTTCATCCCATTATGCTTCCTCACTCATACCCTGTGCTTTAGCAAAGCCCAAATTCTTTAATTCCATGACTGTTTCCTATTGTATCTTATGTTCTGATGTTGTTCTCTTAAGCTGGAATGCTCCTCCTTCTTAATCTTCTGATAAACTCCAACTCATCTTTCAAGATCTTTCTTAAATATATGTACTGAGACATTGTCCCTGGTCCATCAAGCAAAAATTATCTCTATTCTTTTGGTCATTATTGTGCCCAGGTATCTATATTGTGATCTTTGTTTACATGTCTGTCTTAAGCAATACAAATAAGTGAACTATTAGGGAGTACATGTTATTTTCATATTTATAGCACCACATGCTGTTTTGGCACATAATATACAATCCTATTATTTTAAATATTTGCACTTATTATCTGCTTTTTTCTTGTTTATTTAGTTGTTTGTATATGTTTACGTGGTTTCTGTTTTGTTTGCTACTGTGTTCAAATGCCTAGAATAGTGCTTGGTTCATGGTAAGTATTCAACAAATATCTATTGAATGGCTGTTTTAATTCAACAAGATATAGTTATAGAAATTCACCAGGGTACTCTAATGACTTACATTTATATATGGAGAGAAATAATATATATGTATATATGTAAGCATATAATATAAAATATATATTATATATCATATGTATACATATGATTGTGTATTTATATTATGATTTAGTTTAATTATAGCATTTCCTGCTACTGAAGAGAACTATAAAGTCATCCATCACCTCTGGGAGAAAAATGAGTCTAGTAAACTTAAAGAGCAAGAATGGGCCCAAGATCATGATAAAAAGGAGATACTGACAAGGAAAATGTATTTCTATGTAGAGATAGAATTTGAAATGAAAAGAATGGGAAGCACTTTTAAAGAGTTGAAGCCAATATACACTAGATTGTTGACTTTGATTTGGTTATAAAATTTGCTATGGTCATTGCTTTTCTTTTTTGTTCTATCCCTGGTATGGTGCTTTGTATGTTGGATGGCTGCTCTGTTTATATGGTTAATGTTATCTTGCCTGCTTTTGAACAGCTAATGCAGCAGGCCTGTGATGCACACATTGTCAGGTTCCAGGGCCATGCCTATGTGCAGGGTTGTTGTTGGGGGAATTCTTGATAGACTTTCTGCTCTAGAGGCTGCACAGAAATCACTGGATAATTGTGTCAGTATCCTGGCGATCCCTCTGCTGGAAAATTTCCATAGTCAAATTGTTTGGCTGCTACTTCAGAGCTTGTAGTTGTAGACAGTGTCTACTAGAATGTCACTTTGAGCTACCTCAAGAGACTGTACAATTTCCATCATTTCTAGTGAAATTTTCCAGTTTGGGTTTATTTAGAAATAATGAAGCAACACTGCACTATCATATCAGTCATAAGGGTACCATAGAGATTGCTGCATTTAACTATTAGCATTATTTATTTCCACCATTCAAAGTGTACTTTGCCTTTTAAAAACTCTGTGTTATTTGTTTGCATGTGTTTTGGAATAAGTAGTAAGGATCTAAAAAAAAAACAATTTTTTTCTCATTGTGATGCCTTGAAGATTTTACATAATTTCAATATTTATCATTTAAATTTTAAAATTCTAGTCTTTTTCCAAAAATGCTGAAATTCTAGGGCATTTGA